CCCTAGCCACTTGAGCCACAGGCGCCAAGCCCAGAACTTCCCTTTTTAAAATTAAATCATAACCGTGTACATTAATGCATTTATGGGGTACAATGTGCTACTTTGATATACTTTGTGGAGTGCTTACATCAAACTGGTTAACGTAACCATCACCTCACTTACTTGTTGTGGTCAGACATTATACTCTACTCTTGATAGTTTTGAAATGTACCATTGTACATTGCATTGTGCCCAGTGGGTAACCTGGGGGCTGCCCGTGTCAGCAGCTGGGTAACCTGGGGGCTGCCTGTGTTAACGTGGTCGGATTTTAATCCACCACCTTATTTGTTTTCTATATTTCCAATGTGTCCTGTTCTTTTTCTCTCTTTTTCAGCCTTCTTTCAGATCGAGTAGTTTTCATTTTATTCTTGTATCAGCAGCTGATTAACCTGGGGGCTGCCTGTCTCAGCAGCTGGGTAACCTGGGGGCTGCCTGTCTCAGCAGCTGAGTAACCTGGGGGCTGCCTGTGTTAACGTGGTCGGATTTTAATCCACCACCTTATTTGTTTTCTATATTTCCAACGTGTCCTGTTCTTTTTCTCTCTTTTTCAGCCTTCTTTCAGATCGAGTAGTTTTCATTTTATTCTTGTATCAGCAGCTGGGTAACCTGGGGGCTGCCTGTCTCAGCAGCTGGGTAACCTGGGGGCTGCCTGTCTCAGCAGCTGGGTAACCTGGGGGCTGCCTGTCTCAGCAGCTGGGTAATCTGTGAGCTGCATGTCCTGGTTGTGCTATTTTAGGTTTCCCAGCATTTGTAGCTCCCAACTCACCCTTCTGCCTACAAGGGGGGTCACACCGCACCCCACGCAAGGCGAGGACTTCACACAGTCCATGTCCACGTGGTCAAACATTTTACCTCAACACATTTTATGAACTCTGGAATACATTATCAACTTTGCTTAGAGTAACCTGCTTTGAGTAATTAGATAGTCAATTATCTTTTAAACAGTCTTAAATAATGTGGAAAAAAGTGTTTCTGTTCACTTAATGAGCATTCCTGTTACTCCTTGCTCCGTCCTGCAGATCCAGATTCGGAAAGGGTATCCTTCTTCCTTCTGTGTTAAAGACCTACTTTAACATTCTTGTGTCACAGGTCTACTGGTGACGAATTCTTTCAGCATTTGTGTTACCTGGTCTGAACCTGTCACCAGGTAAAAGACTCTGCCCATCCAAGGACAGAGCCAAGGAAATGTGGAAGCACTGACTGCTGACCGCAACTCACACTGGCCATAGAAATGAGGGTAGTAGCAGGTGTGCAGACTTGCTCAGTTTGGGGGCAGGTGTATTTGGGCATGTGTGGTAAGCAGCCATGTCATTTCTGTCAGCTGCTCTGAGCACCCTATTTATATGAGCACTGGCAGTGGTGAAAGGACTGAGAATCTTAGTTTCCTTTGTTAGAGAGTATCTGATGGGCCTGGACTATGCCACAATTAACACACCTCAGGATAGGAGGGGCCTTGACCCTTCTGGGGGAAGGTAAGGCTGTCTGGAGGGGCAGTCCCAGCACTGGCAGGAGACATACGAGGTAGACCTGCTCATGGACGTTGAGTGGCCACGGGCACTGTCTGTGCTTGGCAGCGGGAACCAGGGCTCCCTCCCCCACGGGCCTCTGATGGGGGTCAGTGAGCCATGGGGGAGCTGGTGGAGAAGGGCAGTGAGGGAGACAGGCAGGGAGGGGCAGGGCTGACTCTCTCCACACTGCTGGGCTCTGAAGGCGTCTCCAGAGCAGAAGCTGGGGCTTGTTAGCTCCCGTGTGGATGCCTGGAGTGGGCTCCCTCTGTGAGTGCCACCCTCTTTGCCCTTCCTCACAGTCTGGATCCTGCGCCGAGTGCAGCAGAGCTGAGAGCTCCGGGGACAGCACCCGCCATGCCTTGTCCACGTGTACACACACGGCCTGGGCCCACAGAGGCCGTCCCTTCTCTGCTCTTAGACCAGCTGACCCTCAGCAAGCGCCCAGCGCCTAGTGCAGCTTTGAACATGGAATGTGTAGAGTATCTCCACCCTTTTATTTAAGAAACTTAATTTTAAAGGCAATGTCCATTTATTAAACATGGTGAATGCATGAAAACATGACAGAGTGAATAAAAATTGCTGTTGTGAGTTGAGAACACCTACTGTGTTGGCTTCCTTGGCTTTCTCCCGTGCCCCGCAGGCCACTCAGGCCACTCAGGCCCTGCAGCCTCCTGCTCTGACTGGTTTTCCTAAACGATACAATCATTACTCAACCCGTCCCACTGGAGAACACATAAGCTGGTTTTCCATATTAAGTCTCTAGGAGTGTAACACAGTAGGTCTATTTCTTTTACTTTCATTTCTAAATCTTTTCTAATAGGATGGAATGCAAGAGCCCTTTCCTCTCCACTTGACATGCTGAAGGTGCGGGCACTGCACCTACAGGAAGCACAGAAACCAACACTCCAGGCAGGGGACAGCCACACCACTTTGAATTCTGTGAAGTTTGCTGCTGTCCAGTAATATCAGACACTCTAGACTTCACACCAACCCTCTGACCCCCGAGAAAGCTTTTTCTATAGAATTTCAATTACTCTGTTTTCCAAACATGGTGGAGCCACACCACGAAAATACTGGGGTTGTCTCCTGACAGTGTGTAATAAACACACAACAAAATACACCTGCAAGTATATAAGCCTTTGTGTTTTATTTATTCCGCTGAAAATCCAAAGTTCTCTGCGGTTGAGGGCAGGCGCCGTGGTCACGCAGAAGGGAGCCAACCCCACACTATATACATTCACAGTTCCGAACACCGTGAAGTTGCGGTGCAAGAAAAGAGAATCAGGAGGAACAAACATCCATTCAAAGCCTGTTTATCAGAGATTTTTTTTCTGAAAATGCACAGTGGCATTTCATTAAAAAAACCCTTCATCCGCAGACCTCAGGGAGGGGAGCGTGGGCCCTTCCCTTGGAATATCTTAGTTTATTAACCTCCTTCACTGGTCACGTGCAGGCTGTTCTCTTTTAAAAATGAATCTTTATGCATTCTATAATTATAAAATCAATTGCTACCAAGGCTGCGTTAGAATTTCTCCTGTGTCCAACAAGCCAGGAGCCCAGGAATTGGCTTCCATGTGCCATCCTGTCTGTGTTGCTGGCAGTGCTCATGCTGGAGCCGCGGGGTGATGTGACCAGGGCTGGTGGCTCCTTTATGCTAATGCCTGTCAGTGGGGATGCAGGTCACCACACTGAGGAGGTTAGTAAACATTTTCTCCTGCACTTACTGGCCTTATGGTCACTTTCTACAGAGATACCCTGAATACAAAAATCAATTCACCTCCGAAAAATTTGTTTCCTCAAATAAACCCAGAGGCTTTGCTTTAGGAGACAAACTGAAGTCTATGGTCATTATTGTGCTTTCCAGGCCGGTTTCTCATTATGCCATAAAAATGGTGGAAAAGGTGGTGGCAGAAGATAAAGGTCACACCAAATGTCCCCAGTTCCAGTGCCTCAAAGCCCCTTCCACTCCCCCTTTAAGAGGGGACAGAACCACCTACTCCAGACACACCCTGCCCAATGTCAGGAGGTGGAGCTGCAGGGAGGCACCACCTGGACCAGACATCCTGGTCCTCCCACACGCCACGCGGCACACCCCTCCCCAAGCTAAGGCTGCACGCAGGAAGGTGGATGGTCAGCAGCTGCCACACCCTGAAGGGCAGAGAACCGGAATGGAGAGGAGGGAGGAGCTGCCCACCTGGCCAGAGTCTCTAGGGCTGCTCAGGAGGCCACATGCTACACGGCCTGGTGACGTCCCGCTGCCACCTCTGCCTCTCACTTCCTACCACATTCCGTGCTGACTGGAGGTGGGGACACAATGAAGTAGACTGTGTTATAGTGAAACAAATACCCAACTGGTAACATCGATACAAAAGAGGGGGTTCTTGAAAAAAGATCAAGAAAAGCAGAAAAAAGTGTTTTGAAGCTGGGATCGGGACCTTGTGGCTGAATGTCCCCTGGTGGGGCCCATACAGGAGAAGAGGAGTTTAACCTGGTGGAGAGAGGCCCAATAGAAATTTAGGTCAAAGCTCCAAACAGCCTCAAATGCTATCAAAAAAAGGCCTATAAATAAATATTCTCTGACCCTAAAAGAAAAATGAAGTAGAAAAACAATTTTCTATTTTTTTTTCTTAAAAATGTGGAATGTTTCCTGAAGTACCTAAATGAAGTTATAAAATCCTCATGAGTTTCACACAAATATAGAAATGTTTAAAAATCAGGCAATACCCTGCCACGCCGTGATCCCACAGAGGTGGGCAGAATTTTGTGCTGGAATCACACGCAGGCGGCAGTTCTGTTTCCAGTGTGTGCGCATATGAGGCCCTGGCCTTGTGCACGAGGGAGCGAGAGACTGAAGGAGACCCACAGCAGGACACTGCAGCTAGCACCCCAGAGGGGACCAGCCAGAGGGGAGCCCCCACGCTTTGCAGGCGGGTACACGTGCAGGTTCCTTCCGAATTCTCCACTTGCTGGTCTGAAATGGAGACTTCACAAAGAAACAAAAACAAATCCCCAAATCGTCTATAACTTGGGCCTGGACACAGCACCTGGACACAGGAGCAGGGAGAGAGACCCAGTTGCCACTCGCAGGGGGGCCAGTAGCTGCCTGGACGCAGGCAGTCATGGTGGGAGAGGTTGTGTCCCTCTGCACCCTCTTCCTACTCTAGTTTCTTATGGGATGGCCTCCTGCCAATGTCCACGCTGTCAGGGCTGAAGTCAGTACAGAAGCCATTCGGGGCTGCTGCAGGTGGGGTCTGGGCACTGCTTTCAAAATGTGTCTGATCCGGATACAAATACTCTTCTGCAAAGTTGGGGTATGTTTCTGCAAACCTGCTGAAGTCAGCTGGAAAGATAAAGGCACTTTTGATTACTGGGGTCTTGGAGGAGAAACATCTAGATTTTGGGGGCTCTTTTCCCCGGGTTCTGTTGGCAACACCTAGTGCCCCTCTGGGGAGGTGGGAATCATGAGTTGACACTTCAGGGGAGGCGAGAAACCTTCACTTAGCTTCCTGCTGGGCACTGTCATCCTGAGAACAAGGGGTGGCCAGAAGTCCTTTTAGCTGTTCCTGCTTTTGGGAAAAGTGAGCTTGTGACTCTGAATTCAATAAATACATCTCGGGTATCTGGTATTACTGATTCAGGGGCAAGGACAAGGTCCAGGTGATACCTGACCCTGTGTGAAGGGTATGGAGAGCCAGGCAAGGGCACTACTTTGCAGACCCTACAGGTGGCCCTTTGTGGGCAGAGGCACCCAGGCTTCCGCCTGCCACACTGCAAACAGGTTTGGCAGTGGTGGAGGACAGATGCAGAGCTATGGGACACCAGAGCCCAAGCCCACCTGTGGAAACCCTGGCGCAGTTGACAGCTGGCCCGTGCTGATGTCACAGCAGAGCCTGAGCAGCCCAGTCGAGTGGCGTGGTCAACACGGAACATGGTGTCCGAGCTGGATGCAGTTTTAAAAGCACCCAAACAAGATATGAACAATCAATCATTTCAGAATTCCTTATCTTTCTGAGCAAATGTCTACTTGACTAGTTTTTTGTTTTTAGGGAAAATATACATAATTTACAAATGAACCAGGGCTGCCTTCTGAGGGCCCTGAGCAACGGGGCTCCTGAGGACCTCTGCCGCCCTGCCTGGCTCTGGGACCCCTCACTGGGCAGGAGAGTTTTCCCAAAATTCCAGCTCTGCCCTTGCCACCCCCTGGGCCTCCCAGCCTGCGTGTGTTGCAGGAAAGTGCAGAGAGTCCGTGATGGGGGAATGGGCTGGACTCTGAGCTCATCTCAGCCTTGAGGGATGCATTGCCACTGCCCACACTCTGAGAAGGGGTGCTTTGGCGAAGGTTTGCCAGTTTTGAACAGCAATTTATGATACTATCTAGCCAAATGTCACCAGAAAGGTGAGTTGTTCTGGGGTGAAAGCCCCCCCCCATCATGTCTGTGATGGTTCAGGAGCACCCATCTCCCTATGCCCTCCTGGCAGACCACCCAGGCAGGGGGACATGCAGCCTGGAGCCCTGGCTGCCAGTGACAAGGCCAGCACTTCTGAGGGAGAGAAGACTCCATAGCAAGGGGCTGTATGGAGCCAGGGGTGAATATCCCCCGTCCCTGGGGGCTGCAACAGCCTCTGAAGATGGTGCCTACACTGGGGCCCAGGGCTTCAGAGCTGGGCTCGGCATTTTAGTTCCATAAACTGCCTGAAAAAAGCCAGTTTCAAAGCTCCCTGCCTGCCCTGGTTAGCTTCTGGGAAGAACCTTTCTTCTGAGGACTTTCTGTTTGCAGGAGATGACAGGACAGCCTGGTGCACAGAGGGGGAGCTGGGGACACTCCAGGGGCACGCTCAGACCAGCGCAATGGTGGGTCCTCCCTACTCACGGTGTGACTCCACCTCCGCCACTCACCAAATGTGATCTTCCCCTTCTCTTCCTCATCGATAGCTTGAAAAAGGTCTGTCACAGGAAGTTCTGCCACCCCTAAGGCGGTCTTGAGGATGCTGGACAAGTCGCCCTCGCCTATGCTGCCATCCTCCTGGGACCCATACATCTGCAGGGAAGAGCAGAGCAGACCATCACCTCACAGCCGCCTCCTATGCCCTGGCCAGGCTGGGCTGGTGGCCCCACAGATGTCCTGGCTCTTCAGTGGCCCCAAGGCTCTGAGAACTCGGGTGCTGTTGACCTGACTCCCAGTGACCAATGAGCAAGCTGACCCGGCCCCTCCTGCTGCCTGGGGGACACAGCAGAGGGACCTGTCCTCGGCCACTGCCGTGCTAAGAGGAGCTGGGTTCAGAATCCCCCAGTAGCTCTTTCCCTTAGAATCCAGGAGGCCACCAACATGTTCACAAACACTCACAAGGGGACACAACTGTCAGAAACTCACAGGGTCAGGAGCCTGGAGGGAGGGTGCAGACATGGGAGCAGATGTGGGAGCAGATGGAGGCCGAGGAGACAGTGTCTGACTGAGGGCACAGCTGGGGATCAGAGTGGACCTGGAGGCTGAACTCCATCTTCAGCCCAACTTCTCTCTTCCTGCTCCGATTCTGGGGGCAGCAGCTCAGGCCCTCTCCAGCCCAGTCCAGGGCCAGGGTGGGTTGGGGGCTGGTGGCAGCGGCAGCTCCTCTAAGCTGAGGGCTTCCTCCCCCACACCACAGCTCCCGCTCTTCCCTCACTTCACACAGACCCTTTGATCTGGGGACCCCCTAGGCCCACCTGCTCAGAGCCCACCCCATCCTCTGCAGCCCCCATGAGGCTTGAGGTGGCCCTGTGGCTGCATCCTCTTTTCTTACTTCTTTGGTGGGTACTCAGGGCCCAAGCCCACTACTCTCAGCTCTGACCCAAGGGTTTCCTTAAACCCCTGCTGGATGGTCCAGCTCAAAAGAGCAATCTCATGGTGATTGTCCTCACCCTAGTTCTCAGCCTGAGCCACCCACACCATCACTTCATCTGCTTTTCCTTGCGTGGGGCCCAGTGTCCCAGAAGCTCCTGACCCCAAGTCCCCCATGGTTTGCCTGATGGCTACGTGGCTGTGTCACCTGAGTGTTCCCTCCATGCTTCCACTGAGATCTGGTCTCTGCGGACAGAGTGTCGTGCTCTTTAGGAGACGCCCACACCCTGAACCTGGGTGACGCCACACATCATGTGGGCATTCAGGGATCTGCTTGTGCACTGAATGCCATCAGCTCGCCCAGCCCTCGTGAGGGCTGCCAGGCCAGGCTTGCCTCCCTTCCCATCACATCTGCCTCCACTTCCCCTCTGGACTGCTTGAGGAAGGCGTCCCCCCATTCCAGGCTCATTTCCCCAGGGGATAGCATCCGTGTACCTGGCTTCAAACAGCTCTTGTGTGCACTGACAACTGAATCTTCTTTGGTCTAAATCTCTCTCCTAATTTTAGATTTGCTGAATCAGATATCTGCAGACTATATCCATTTGGGGCACTGGACCCACAAACACTGAGCTGGGTCAGACCCGAGTCACCTTCTCTACCTGGCACTCCCACTGGTCTCTAATTTGGCTCACATACCCCCACCCCCTGTGATCATGGGATTCATGTGGCCATTGCAGGGGATGCATGGGATACTCTGCTTCAGAGTTTTGAAAAATAAGAACAGTAGAGAGGTAGTTTCTATATTCAAAAAGTTATTTAGAAGGCCATATGAAGACACAGTGAGACACAGAACTAGGGTCTCAATGCGGGGAGTGGGGCAGAGAGAGACTTTTGGGTTTTCATTTTCCACTTTCTGAGCTGTTAGAATTTTTACTATGACCATGTCTTAAGCTTTTATATAGTAATAAAAAAAAAAGAAAGCAAAACAAGAAATTCCAAAAGTATATCACAACTGGAAATTGCTACTGGACACCTCAAGTGTGCACCATCATAAATGCAGCTTGTGTCTCAACGATTGGCCAGGAGGAACCTGAACAGTAAAATAAGGCAGGTGAACCCATTTAAATGTGTGCAGGGGACCAGGGGAGGTGTCCCAGGGCCAGCAGAAAGGACAAAGGCTACGTCTTTAGACAGGCTGATGTCGGGAAAGGGGCAGGCTGCTGGGAGAGACAGGAGGAAAGTGGGTCCAAAGAAAGTGAAAATAAGGCACAGAAGCCAGGGGTTAAAACCTACAGTCAGGATGAAGGCACATCTGCACAGCAACCAAGCCACCCTTGACGCCCTTGACACAAGGAGGACCCTACATCTCTCTGAGACACAGCTGTGTGAACATGACCTGTGAGGATGCGTGGGCACTAGGCTGCATCTGATCTACCAGCCCACCTGTGTGGGGGGCGGCACCACAAGCAAGCACGTGTTGTTATGCACGGTGGGGGGGCACCTGGAAAGACCCACCCATCCTATCAGCGGGGACCAGGTAGACACCATAATCTCCATAGAGCATGTCCTCAAAACTCCATAGCTGGTTACAATGCCTACCTGTGGGGGGGTATGGAGGCAGTGCTCCTGCGGTGCCAGCCTGGCAGGGGGTCAGGTTCCTTGTCCCACTGTTTATGCTGAGAAATAAACCCAGCCTTCCTCTCCTGACAGTCATCCCACTACTGGCCCTACTGGGTGACTTTGGAGCAGGTGCAAACCCAGCCCTCAGCCCCCATCACCATCATCCTGCTATAGGCTCTACTGGGTGACTCTGAAGCAGGTGCAAACCCAGCCCCCCCTCCTGTCACCATCATCCCGCTACAGGCTCTACTGGGTGACTCTGCAACAGGTGCAAACCCAATGTCCCCTCCTGTCACTGTCATCCCGCTACAGGCTCTACTGGGTGACTCTGGAGCAGGTGCTGGGGCTGTCTAAACAGGTACAGTGAGACATGGTCAGCAAAGGGGCCACGAGTCTGTGGGGCCAGGCCAGATCAGGCTGGCAGCCTGCCTAGGTCTGGAGGAGGGAGGCCAAGGTTTCTTAGAAAGGAGTGGCTACATGGTGACACTGTCCAGTTAGTTCCCCTGGTGTGATCAACATGAGCCACCTCTCCATGTGAGGACCCCCAGCACTGCTACGGAGAGGCTGTGCTGGGGCCAGAAGGGTTCTCAGTGTGGGGAGATGAGCCAATTCCTCACTTCTCTTGTCCTAGGAGTCTGGCTGATGAGAGTTGTGCCCACTCAGGAGTCCCTGAGGGAACTGTCCCTCCAGACAAAGCCCACCCAGCTCTATTCTAGATCCAAGTGTTCAGTGAGGCCAGCCCTGAGGCTTCCTGGGGGTCTGTGGGATCCCCCCAGTGGCAAATGGCTCAGCTCTGGCAGGACACACCCCCTGGGTGTAGCCCGGGGCAGGTCTGAAGCCCTGCTCTCGTCACCAGGCAACAGGCCAACAGGGAGGCTGTGCAGGGAGAGATGAGGTGTGCGGCCCCATGTGAGACATGCAGACACAGAGCACATGGTGATGTGACACCTGCCAGCCCTGCCATGGGGTCTGGGGCATCGCTAGTCTATGCCTTTATTATGAGTGTGGGTTGTTAATTTAGTTCATTTTCTGGGTGTTTTACAGACAACAGCCAGCAGAGGATCACAGAAGAATAGCAGTTAGGCCAAGTCCCTTGTCTGCACCAAACTCACGTGAAACCCACACTTGCCTTAAATGCCAGCTGGATGGTGTCCAGCGTCTTGGCTGGCCGGCAGACCACAGACAGGGCGACCACGTACTCCCGCAGGTCCATCCTGCCGCTGCCCTGTGGGGAAAGGCCCTGTCAGGTATGCAGAGCTCCAGTGTCCAGTGCTCCACACAGGTCCCGCATGTTACCCTAAGGGTCAGTCCAGGCTCACTTGACGTCTGGCTGTGTGAAAGGGTACCGAGGGGGAAGACTGGTAACACCCAGACGCTCCAAGGTCACCATACTGTGCATATGATTTTTGGTCATTACCATGAATTGTCTAACTCTAAGACCACTACGGGGAGCTTCTCAACCAAGCATGTGCAAAATGACTGTCACCTGCTGAGACGTGCATTTTGAAAGACAAACCAGTAAGCACCAATGCTTGCTTTGGGCTCTGAACACTTAGTCTGATTGTGGCAAGATGTGACAGGGGCCCAGCACAGGGCAGCTCTGGGCTTCAGCCCCTGCCCTGCTGACCACCCTCAGGTGTACTTGAGGCCTCTTCAGGGTGAGCTGCTGCTTTGGTGAGCAGGCTGGTGCTGTGTGAGGGACAGGCCAGGACTGATAGGGAGGTGAAACCACACTCCTGTGGGGACTGGGGCCCAGGAAAAGACCACCCCATCACTGAGCACACAGTGCAAATGAACAGCAGGGGCAGGAGGGGAAGAGGTGCAGAGGGCCTCAGGGCAGAGGGAGGACTCCCCAGCTAAAGGTGGAGGGGAGATGCACCCTAAAGGGGAAGGAGAATTCCTTAACCAGAGAGAGGAAGTGAGGAGCACTCAGGGTTGGAGAGGACTCCCTGATCAGAGAGGAACAGGGGAGGAGTACCCTAGATCAAAGGGAGGACTCCCTGTAAGAGGAAGAGCATCTCAGGGCAGAGAGGACTCCCTAATAAGAGAGGAGGGGAGGACCCCCTGGGGACGGAGGGAGGACTATCATCAGATAGAGTTGGTGAGGAGCAGCCAGGGCAGGGGGAGGACTCTCTAGTCAGTGAGATGGTGGCAGAGGTGACGAGCACCCTAAGTCAGAGGGATGATCATGACAGAGGAGCCAGAGCCTCCCAGTGGCAAATGGCTCAGCTGTGGGACACACACAGGTCCCCGGGGCTTTTCTGTCCTCAAGGCGTGGCATGGGGTGGAGAGGTGCTCTGGGGAAGGAGGAGGGCACAGGCATGTTGAATTTACTTCTGACCCAACAAGAGGATGAGGTCCTAGCTCCGGGAAGGGATCCCCTCTGGGGCTGAGCCCTGTGTGAAACAGGCAACACTTCCGCCTCAAAGGATCATTATGAATTTGAAAGAGCAGAAAGTAGAAAATTAACAACTGTGTGTTGAATCAACATCTACGGTCTCATATCTGAAACTTGAGGCTGCTTAAGAGCATCTGAGTGGAAATGCAGCCACAGCTGTGGCTCCTACAGGAGATGAAGTCTGTGCCTGCTTCCGCTGCCTAGGGCTGCGTCCAGCACGGCCATCTGGTCTGCAGCAAGTTCACTCAATCACGCCACCAACAAAAGGCCACAGCGGCTCACACTCTGTACACCATGGAGGCCTCACGGTGTTGAGGCCACTCACTGGCTTCCCCTGGGTTCTACCAAAGTCCACACACAGCTGTTTCTCATTGGTATAAGAGCACACCATGTTGTTCCATGGGACATACTGTGATGGCACAAGGACATGCTGTGTCTTCACACAGAACACGCAGGGCTGAAGGAGCCCTCCACGCACACCCTGACATGTGACAGGCCCAGTAGGACCCACAGCTTAGGTATCAGTACCCTGACACACATATCCAGGTCAGCCTAGGTGTGGGGATTTCTGGGAGGTGTGGCAGCCTGTCCCACCTCAGGCACGACCCATGCCTTCCCAAGTCCCTCAAGGCCACCCACATTCTTAGACCCACCACAATGTGACGTGACTGTTGACTCACTTGGCTACCACGTATGACTTAAGGATGTGATGTGGAGGGGGGATGGGGCTCTGGGGGGGATAGGGTTTTAGAGGGATGGGGAGAGGGTGCAGGGGGGCCCCTAGGAGAGAGGGTGCGGGGGGACTAGGGGAGAGGGCCGGGGGGAGGGGTCCTCATACACTAACACAAGCCCACAGGGAACCTCTCCGTGGATCACTGAGGAGGGGGCACAGTATCTAGAAATCCTGGTGTGGGGAAGAGACTCCAGCTGAGCTGGCTTGTGGTGGTTTAGTGCAGGGTCCCATGGAGATCCCAGCATGGGGATGGCCTTTTGGAATCATTAGAACTTCAGTACTGGATACAGCATGGCAGGAATCTCTCCTAGTGACAGGGTGTGTAAGGAGGGTGGCTCCTCCTCTCGGCTTGAGGAAATGGCTAATAGTGCTCATGTTACATCGAGGACAATTTACACGTTGAAAGCCAGAGGTTTCACCACCCTCAGTGGCGGCCCCACCTCATCAAACAGTGAGAACATGTCTTCCAGCACGTCCGATACCGGGACTTCTAGGTAGGCCGCCAACTCTGAAACCCCAATCTTCTCTTCTTTCTTCACCTTCGCACTTTCTGAATATTTGTCCAGATCTTTTTCAAGTTTTTCTGGTTTTAGCCTAGAAAAAACATTTGTTGAAACAAAGTTACCAACAAACATTTGTTGAAACAGAGTTATCAACAAGAGGTTTACTGTTATCTTTGATTCAATGAAATATTAAACTGTTTTGTATAAAGAATAAATCAGTTTTCAAGGAAAGGCATCATAGTGCCTTGAGGGTGCATGGTGCGTGCTGAGTGTCTGAAGAGATGTGTGTGCCCTGTGGCTCTGTGGACGCCTCTTGGGCAAGGTGTCCTAAGGGGTGGCCTCCTGGGGCAGCACCTGCAGGGAGAGCTGTCAACCATGAAGAGGTTTAAAGACAATTCTATGTAGATTGAAGCTGGTATTTGACAAAGAGCAGAATAAGCATCATTAGCAATTATCTTCTTAACTGCCTGCCCTGGCCTTAGCTGGACCCTGGCAGCACTGGTTCCAGCTCTCTAGGAAGAAGAACAGAGAACTTACCCGAGGCCACGCACGAGCCTGGCAAATTCTAAGAGGCAGGTGTCAGCAGGGAGGCGAAGCTGTCCTTCTGCCAGGGCCAGCTGGCAGTCCTCAAATGTATAGTCGGTCACGGAGATGCCCAGGGCCCTGCAAGAGAGAGCGGGTACCCATCAGCATGACCCTGAAACCTCCAGTCTCATGGTTCCCTCTAAGTAGCTGAGCAAAGGGCTCTTCCTCTGGCTGTGTGTCTAGAGCATGGACACAGGGCAACATGTCCACCCCCAAAGGAAGGTTCTAGAGATGTAAGAGGTTGGCAAGGGTCACCAAATGTAACAGAGGCACCTGCTTCCCAAGGCACCATCTGGGGCTCTCTTGAATCATCTTCAAGAACAGAAATCCCTGCGGTGGCCAAGAACTGCATGTGGCACATCCTGCCCTGGGACCATACATCTATGTCATGGGGTCATCTGGTCACAACAATGTGTGTTTAAGGTATTTCCTCCCTTGGTGGAACCCAGGCAGAAACAGCTTCATCTGTACAGTAAATGGCGCTTTCACCGAGGCTCCTGTGATTTTATTTTGTAGTTTACATAAATGTCATTTCTAGGTTGGTTATACATTAACAAATAAATTACTATGAATACAGGTGGGGGCCAAGATAAAAGTGGAAGTCAGGAATAGGATAGGTTTCTAAGAATAAAAGCTCCCCCCCCCCCAGAATTAGGCCCCTCCTCTCTGGGGGATGCAGAGCACCCCCCCCCCACTCTTCCCTGGCAGGCAGTGGGAACGGGCACTGGAGGGGCTTTGGGCAGGTGTGGCACCCAAACCTGCAGCCCAGACACTGTCCTCTCCCTGGAGCTCTACAGGGACAAGAGATACCTCCTGAAGGCCAAGAAAGGTGCTCCCACCCCCGCCCTGCCTGCAGAAGCCCTTACCAGCGACCCTGGGAGTCCCACAGATGTCTGTGTTCAGTGCTGAGCATGCACCTGCCTGGCAGCTGCCCCACTCTCACTCGGAACAGGGCTGCCCCCCATTGTTGGCTTGTGTCCTCCTGGTTTCTGTCCTGCTAAAAAGCATGTGGTGGCCACATGGCTGCCATTTCATCATGTGTATCCACTTCCACTCTAAACCAATACAGCAATGCCTTGAAATCCTAACAGCCTGCCCTCCGTGTGGATGCATGCAGGGAATCGGGGCATCTTCACCAATTGTGGCCCTGACCCCAGGACTTGGGTGTATAGAGTGAGGTCTCAGGGCAGACAGTCTCTCCCTGCCTACTAAAACGTGTTTACCATGGAATTAACCAAGTATAAAAACCCAAACACCACCCCTCCCCCAAGGAATCTCTGTACTGAAGGGGCTTTTAATAATTCCCCCAACACAGGGTGCCTTGGAGACACTGTAGGTTTGTTTCCAGACCCATAGTGAAGCAAGTGTCACCATGAAGTCACACAGTCCTGGTTTCCCAGAGTGTGAGAGGTTACATCTACACAAGGCTGTAGTATAAGTGCAATAGCATTATCTCTAAGAAACAAGTGCATGGCTGAATTGAAAATACTTCATCGCTAAAAAAGGCAAATGATCATCTGAGGCTGCAGCAAGTCCTGCTGGTGGGGGCCCTGGGCCCGAATGGCAGGTGCTGAAGGTGGGGGTGGCCGTGGCACTTCCTTAGATGCCGACTGGCTCTTGCTTTCACCAAAGTTGTCTGTAGCCAGCGATGCTGTTCAGCATTATACACGGAACTTCCAAACTGGAGTCAATCCCCTCAAACCCTGTTGCTGCTCTATCAGTGAAGTGCATGGAGGATTCTAAATCTCTGGGGGTCCTTTCAGTGGTGTTCATGGCTTCTTCACCAGTGGATCCCATATCGAGAAACCACCTCTTTGCTCCCGATAGAAGAAGCTCCTCCTGTCTCTTCCAAGCTCGACCATGTGATGGCACAGACTAGTCCCCGCTGCAGACTCCATTTCCAGTTGTCATCTCTGCCACATCTGCAGATCCTTCCTTCACTGAAGTCTGGAACTCCGTAGTCTCTATGGGGTTGGAAGTCACGTCTCCCAAACTCTGACTGGGACCTCCTCCCAAGAGTGTTTTGGCAGCATCCAGAATGGAGATTTTGTCCCAGGAGGTTTTCCACTGACTTTGGCCACAGCCATCAGAGGAATCAGTATCCATGGCAGCTACAGCCTTATGAAATGTTATTTCTTAGGTAAGTTTTTTTTTTTTTGAGACAGAGTCTCACTATGTCACCCTTGGTAGAGTACCGTGGTATTACAGCTCACAGCAACCTCAAACTCTTGGGCATAAGCGATTCTCTTGTTTTAGACTCCAAAGTAGCTGGGACCACAGGTGCCCACCACAGTGCTCGGCTATTTTTGTTGTTGTAGTTGTCATTGTTGCTTAGCTGGCCCGGGTTGGGTGCGATCCAGCCATACTTGGTGCATCCACAGCAACCACTGTGCTACAGGTGCCAAGCCTTCTTAGATAAGTCTGTCAAAATTAGTCCTCAATCCAAGGGCTGTGGAATGGATGTTGTATTTCAGGCATGAGCATGCGAATCTCCTGTGCATCTCCGTGGAGCACGGTGTGGGGCAGTGTCACTAAGCAGTAATATTTAGGAGACTTTTTTTTCCCCTGAGCAGGTGTTGACCATGATGTAGACAGAGGTACTGTCATCCAGGTTGCTCTGTGAATGCACAGCCAGAGTAAACTTAGCATGGTCTTTGAGGGCTGGATGACTTCCAGGATGGTAAGAGTGCTGGCTTCCACTTCAGGTCACCAGCTACACTGGCCCCAGTGGAGAGGGTCAGCCTGTGCTTTGAAGCCAGGCACTGACTTCTCTCCAGCTTTATGAAGGTCCTGGATGGCATCTTCTTCCACTACACGGCTGCCTCATCCACACTGAAAACCTGTTAGTGCATCACCTTCGTCAGCGATCGCGTGGGTAACTCACTGCAGTTTCTCCATCAGCGCCTGCTGCCTCACCTTGCACTTTTGTGTTGTGGAGACGGCTTCTTTTCTTAAACCTTATGAACCCACCTCTGCAGCTTCCAAATTTTCTCCTGCAGCTTCCTCACCCCTCTCAGCCTTCAGAAAGTGAAGAGTCATAGCCTCACTCTGGATCAAGCTTTGGTTTAAGGGAGCGTTGTGGCTGGTTTGATGTGTCCAGACCCTCAGACTTTCTTGTATCTGGGGTGAGGCTGTTTGGCTTTCTGACCACTCATGTGCTCACTGGGGCAGCACTTTCAGCTTCCTTTGCGCTCACAACTTGGCTGTTTGGTGCAAGGGCCTAGAGTTTGACTTATCCAGGTTTTCTATGTGTCTTAGTGCAGTGCAGAACTTGCCTCCAACGTCCCAGGACCCATTACAAAGCTGGAGACCTGCTGGGAGGCAGCGCCACCAGGAAAGGCTGCCCAGGGCCTCCCCCGCGGCCCATTATTTCTTCCATTTTCTTGGGGAGGATATTTGTGACACAGCAGACCCCCCAGCAGCCCTGAACATGATGGAACATGTTCCCAGCCATTTGGAGGATTTTCAGAGAAGTCTGAATCACACAAAGGAAATGACAGACCCATTCACTGACTGGAGCAAAACCTTCAAGTCCCTCAAAGCGTGAGACAGATGGCTCTCAGGGAAGCCGGGGCCACTCAGCATTCACTGAGTTTTGTAACACATGTTTTCATCCCCCCATGTCCCCAATAGAAGACAGCACCACAGCAGAAGCTTCGGGTGACAGGCTTGGCCTGGACGGGCTGATGCACCGCCCCCCCATTCACCATCCACTTGGCTAGACATTCAGAGCAGCCTGTGGTAGAGGCTGAGTGAGCTGTTTCTACCCTTGGTGCAAATGCTCTGGGAGAGAGGGCACAGGAGCAGGTAACTCAGGCTGTTGATGGTGTGTCCACTGAGTGTAAACCAAGGGACTCAGAAGTGAGAGCCCCTAACTGTCAGCACCACCTGCCTGGCCCCACCTGACCCACTGTGTCTATATTGCACTTAGCAAGGGAGCCTCCTGGGTGACCAGCTGTGGCAGGGTCTCAGGGGTGGCAGGGAGCCTCTTGGGTGACCAGCTATGTCAGGATCTCAGGGGTGGCAGGAGCCTCTTGGGTGACCCACTGTAGCAGGGTCTCAGAGGTGGCAGGGAGCCTCCTGGGTGACCAGCTATGTCAGGGTCTCAGGGGTGGCAGGGAGCCTCCTGGGTGACC